CCCCAAAACCCCAAAACCCCGGGAATCTATATAAAAGTCATAATAGAGAGGTATATCATTATTAATCATAAAAATAAGGAAACTTACTAAAAAGATGTCAAATAAATCATTGACTTAGTTGCAACAAGAATTTAAGGATTAAAAATATGAGCAAGCTTTGAAGCTTTCAAAGCAGATTATAGAAAACGAGCCCTAGAACAGACCAACAGCTATTATATTTGAGATTAATTCACTTATCAAGCTTTCTGACTACAAATCTGCTCTTACTTCAGCTGTGAGTTCTGAATAGATACTTATTAAAGAAGCTGCTGATGACAAATTTACCTTCTAACTTTACAATGCAGCGATAGAAGCTAGCAACTTAGCTCTGGAAATTGGAAACCAAAAGGACAAGAAAGAAGCTCTGGAGCATAAAATTTAGTACACTAAAAAATTGTTGAACTTTTTAGAAAGGTAAGTACAGATATTATGATGATATTCTTTTGTTAGGAAAGAAAGATATGATAAATTTTAAGAGAAGCTCTAAGAGCTAGTGAATATATTGACTCCTGAGGATAGATACTCTGAAATCGAATAGATTTATGTCTAGGTTCTTGAAAACCCAAAGTTTTCAGATGAATTTAGACATTAATGTGGGATTGGAGTATTCACTATGTCTTAGTTCCATAAGCCAAAGCTAGTTCTCACAATTGATCTATTTAATAAAATCAAGACTTTAAATCCTGAAAGCCCAGGCAATTAGGTTTTGAGCCAATAGCTATTAAAAGATTTTGATAAGTAAATAGATTTAGACACAAAAAAGCAGGGATTCAGTCCCAAAGATTTTCTCAAGACTTGTAAAGATTTCAATGAACTTGCTTCAGCAATATTTATGAATATGAACTTGAGTGATGATTCTGTGACTCAAAATTTGTTGGCTAAATAACTCTCTCTATTTTACAAGTAATATTTTATTCAATTACCTCACTTAACTTTTATAGGTTTGTAATGATTAGCATCAACTTATATAATGTATGCTCTCCTGATTACTAGAAGTTGATTGAGAAACTTAGAGAGCTTTCCTAAAGTTCAGCATTTACCTTCTATTATGAATCTCAAGAAGATACTTCACTCAAATTACCTTCTTTGATTCAAGGCCTTTTGTAACTTGACGATAACCTTAACTCCCTATATTTGAAAAATGCCAATTTTGACAACAAATCTGAAGAATGGCAGTTAAAAGAGCTTAGTAATCTTAGGAAGATAGTTGACTAGAATTTCTCTCCGATCGTCAATCTAATTTATGTATGCTTGAAATATTTCAATTGATTAATAGGGTGAACTCATGATTACAAAAAATTTAGATCTAGATAATGCTTACTTGGTTTTGAATTAAGGTTTAAGTCTTATAAAGAATAACTTAGATCTAGGCTTTGCTTAGTAATACGAGTAAGTATATAATCATATAATTATCATTTAGAGTCCAAACTAAGATTTGCTTATACTTGCTTCAACTTATTAGCAGCAATAAGATTACAATTTAGTTATAAGCTAAACAGTATAGTTTCACAAAAATCATTAATAAACTTGAAAATTTACAGCAGAACTCAATTAACTAAGATATTCAATAATAAAAACGTTATGATTTTTCCAATCTCATTAATGAAAATCTCATCAAGGTAAGCAATCAATATTCTTTATAAAGTATATCATTAGCTTAAGTACCAGTATTATCTATCTATTGATGATTGGAAAGCTGCAAAGTAAATCCTAGATGAAATTGATCAATCTGGAGATAATAAAGTCCACCCAGATTGGATAAAATCATAAAGAGCATGGCTATCATATTCATCTCTTGATGAGTTAGAAAATGAAGAAGATAAGCTATAAATTATCAAAGGGCAGATAGTTCTACTCAAGGAAGCACTCTAAATTAATCCAAAGAATATAGAAGCATAAATAAGATTGGGGACTATGTATTTCAACTACGAGAAATAGCTAGGATTAAATGCAAAATCTGATCAGATTTAGTGGATTTAGGCGCTTAAACAAGATCCCTAGAATGGAGAGATATATCTGTGTCTTGGTATATACTTCTATGCAAAGGAAAATGACATGAACAAAGCAATGAAAAGTTTAATGAAGGCTATTGAACTAAGAGCAGATTTGGAGGATGCCTAATTCCTACTATTCTTAATTCTAGTTGAACTGGGTAAAACTGATGAGGCTTTTGCTAATTTGGCTAAATTCCAAAAAATATCACCTTATTCTGTAGTACCTTAATTTTACCTTGGTTTAAATAGCTAAAATCATGGCTAATACCAGAAAGCAACTGAGTATTTTTAAAGAGCCATCAGGAATCATCAATATCAGTAAAGCATTGTCAAGAGAGAGAAAAGTAGCTATCCAACCATAAAAGATTGTTCGATTCTCACTAGATATTCTAACCCTCTATAAAATTAATTAAATAGAGAGATCAGCTTAGTTAGCAAGAATGACTTAATATTCTGGATTCATTTAGCTGATTGCCACTTGAAGTAAGACAAAGCTGAAACTGGTTATAAATGCATAACTAAGCTACATAAAGACTTGAAACCCATTCTTGAAAATCATAAGAAGATTAATATTCTAGAAGATGCTTAAATTATCAACAATGAGCAGAATCAGAAATTAAAGGAGATTTTAAAGCCAATTGTTGATTCTTTGATATTACCAGAGGCTTTTAATGCAAATTACTAATTAATATCAACCATATTTAACGAGGATTTGGTTGATACATTCCAGCATGATCTATAATTTATTTTGCTAGTTACTTCTTAGGCATTCTATAAGTTCGAAAATTATCATAATGCTTTAAAGATTGTCTCTCTTGCTCTTGATAACATAAATACATATACTTAGGGAACCCAACAGGAGATTTTAGTAAATATACTTGAAAACTTAAATAAGTTGATCGACATTAAAGCTAGAGGTCAATTAGATTCACAAGGAATACTTAAACAAAAATGCCTCAAGTGCTTAGTAGGAATTTTTAAATTAATCGATGAGTATGATTTAACTAATGATATTAGACTAATAAATGTGAAGGTAGATTCTTTAAAAATCTTATCTGAGCTTCTAAATGAAAAAGAATATCTAATCAAAGCTATTGATTTGCTATAAAATTCTCTGACTGACAATAATTAGATTAATCAGAGTAATGCTTACACATGGAATGCAAAGCTTAACCTAGCGAAATTGTATCACAGTTTATTGATCAATTTCTCAGATGACTCATAATATGAAAATAAGATTTAACTCATCAGAGAATTACTTCGATCCTAGACATTAAATTCTTAATACTGGACATACTATGGCATATTTGTAAGGGATTAAGATACTAAATTAAAATGCTTCCATAGAGCTCTTCAAATTGCTCCTTAGGTAATTAACTTTAAAATAATCAATATAGGATTAAAATGCTTTAAACAATCTTTTTGCCTTGCTACTAAGGGGTAATTATTACAAAAAGGCAATTGAGGTAATGAATAAGTTAAAAGGTATTTAGCCTTTAAACCCTGTTCTCATGGCAATTTAAATCATTTTCAAGGCTAGACTGGTGCTTTCGAAGGAGTCTATTACCACCAACAATCATGATGCTAGAATTTAATAGCTCTAGCAGACTATTTCTTTAGGTTAGATGTACATTGAGATAGAAAAAGAGAGATCTGATATCGCAGACAAAGAAAGGAATCCTAAACTAGATATATATGGCTACTTTTCAGACTAAATTTAGCATTTGATCTTGCTTATGCAGTATGAGGTTGAAGATGCATAACTCAATTACTATGATTTCATCGATGTGCTAGATAGATAAATTCAGCAGACTCATTAATATGAGAGTCTGATAAAATGCATTAAAGCTAAGAGCTAGATTATCACACAAGGCAAAAGTACCGTTTAAAAGTTAAAAGATATATGTGAATAGTGCTTAAGTCAAAACGATTCATTAAATGGTTAACTTGATAAGATTAGGTTGATATTCAAAGAATTTGAGAATGAAGATACTGATAATTTGTTGACTTAGCATTCATAAACTGTATTGAATTTATTATAATCCCCATCAAATTAAGTTGCTACAAGATTGATTTTACTTAACTTGAGAATGATCAAAAGCTAAATTAACCCTAAAATTAATTTGATAGAAGATGAAAATGAGGAGCAATTAGATCATGCATTAAGTAAAGTCGAGCATAAAATTGCTGCCTAACTACTAATCTCTGTATTTTAATAGGCATTCAATATGAATCCTTCAAATATCATAGCTCTTCAAGATAAATTCTATCTTTTCGACTGGTATAAGATCGAACTTGAAGGTCATCTATTGCAGAGACCTGAGTATGGTAAAATATTCAAACTCTACTTATTCAATCAATCTGAAATGCATCGAGATATATTTATCAAGGAGTATAAAAGACTTTAGCTAGCATAATTCACACAGATAAAAGATTTAATAGCTAGAATCAAAGTAAAGTCTGAGATTAACATGAGCAATTAAGTTGAGATAATGAATAAACCAACAAGCTTAAAAGGTTACAACAAACTGATTTGGCATTAGTTTAAGACTGGAGACCTGGAATTGATTACTAAGGTTATAGAGTTGACAAATAATAAGATTAAAGTAGGAATCATTAATGAGATCAGTGAAAATGACAAGCTACTATTCGATGATTATCAAACCTTAGCTTTAGTACTTTAATAAGGTTCCCTCAGCATTCCGAAGCAATTCTAATCTTTTAATGAAAACCTAAGGACAATTATCAATTTGTTCTTATCTAGTATTGATCAAGCAAAGCAAAGTTAGGATGATAAATCTGCAGCAATTAAGAAATTAATCAAAGATATCATCATTGTACTCATTAATAGCCCAGATTAACTCATTGAAGAGGAGCTTGCTATTATTTATGAGAATCTTTAAACTCTTTTGCTGAATAGGGGATATCTCTAAACTTTTAATGACTTTGGAACAGAGTTTTTAAGTAGTCTTAAGGAATAGCAAAATGGTAGCATTCATCCACTATTTTAAAATGAGATCAACCTCTAATTTAGTTTGAATATGTCAAACAACTATTTAAATCTTAAGAAACTCGGACAAGCTAATGCCATGAAGAAATAAGTGAATGAATCATTTTAGATCAACAAATCAATGAATAATGATTCAAAGAACATGCTCGAGGCCCTGATGAAACTCAAGGCTAAATAACCTTTAGAAGCCATCAAGCAACTAGATCTAGTGGAAAGCCTTGGTATCTACTATGAAAAGGAATTCTTAACTGCTCAAGCCCTCTATGACTCTAAGGTAATATATATATATACTGTAATATTTATTTAGCAATACAAAAATTACTACTTATAATGCAAAACTCTAGTCTCAACATTGAAGGAAGAGATAAGTCTGTTAGGCTAAGATAATCCCAACTCAGCTGAACTGATTATTGACAGCAGGAGATTTAACTTCTTTTTAGGTTATGCTTACTACTTGAAAGCCTAAGCTGAAAGCACATTTATGCAGGCTAGATGTTAAGGTATCAGACTCGAGGATGATTTCGATGAGGAAGATGAAAAGGTTATGGATGTGGATTATTTACATGACAAAGCTAAGAATAGTTTTGAGAAATGTAAATGGATTTTATAGGATTATGAAGAGATCATTGCTTTTGTAGACAAAGAATTAGAACAATTTGAATGAGTTAAATTTGCTTTTTTAATTCCATCATCAAATATGCCTATTTTTATTCAAGGGGGTTTTGGGGTTTTGGGGTTTTGGGG